AATACACATTGTAGACCACACACAAAGAGCACTAAAAAAATGACCAAAATAATAATTTATTTTCATTAATATCTTTCCTTTAGTGTCTTTGCATCATTCAATTTTCATTATATAATTATTTACCAGTACATGAGTTATGTACACAGAAAATTTGAACTAATTAGAAAAAGTATTTCTCAAGTTATGGATGAAAATCATTAAATTTTTTGTAACAGATGTGGTGTTGTATTTTACCCATAAGTCCTTGCTGGAAAAACAAAATGGTGAACAATGTATACCAAGTGAATATTTATAGAATGAGAAGTGATGTAGCAAAGATGTAAATTTCATTCCTCTACATTTGTGGAGAACTTTCATCAGAGTATCGTGTTGTTAGCCCAGACTTCCCCTTGCCAACTTTTACATTTCCTGTTTGGAGGAAGAAACCAACTTTGGGGGGCTTTAAGAGGTATGAAACAAATATGCAATATGCAACTGGAAATATGGCGGGGCCTCTCATTTCCACGATTGCTAATGTTAGATCATTAAATTTAAAGCAGACAAGATTATACAGTGGTGCCCTGATGTCCAGGTAGTTATATTAATGTAATGACACTGAATTATGAATTAATTTCTTCCCGGTGAACATTAGTTTAGTTGAACTGAAAGGGCAAGGGTTGAAGAGAGATGGTAGAATTTTTTCGAGAGGCAACGCGAGATGAGATAATTAAAATTAAACATTTTTCAAAATAATCTTCATCTGTGAGAAATTTATAATTTGATCATATCAAGTGCATAAAAACAAAAATGGGACCTTGCATTTGATGAACATGATGGAGATGTCAATTAAATTATTAAACAAGTCTCACCTTCAGGGTCAAGCAGTTTCGTAAGGCCCAGTCTATGCTCGGCAACATTGAAAGCATTGTTGAGATTATACACAGGGTTGGATTTCTGCAATTTGTTGTATTCAATGAGATCAGGTCGGTGCTTGTGGATGAGTGCATTGAATCCCAAACCATCTTTCCAGCTTGTGGTGAAGTTACGGATATTGACGTTGGCATACCCGGCAGTTTTCATCTGGCACCACAGTAACAGGGCATCTTTAGCAGATTTGGTCTCCTGGTTATCTTCCATCTCAAAACTAATGTCTTGAATCTATGAAGTAAAAAATAAAAATTTTTTAGTCAACTGCAATCTTCCCCTAAATACTTTCCTTGATCCAGTCCATCAAATCTACGTTCCAAGGTAGGTTTACCATGAAAAATACTAAATTACAATAATTAAGTCTTGGTAACAGAGCACTTGCAGAAATATAAAACATACCTTTGCCTTTAACTGGGCAAACATGATGCCAGCTCAAAACTAAACTGAAGACTTTATAAAAATTGAAAGCAGCAAGAGCAAAAGCCAAGATGTGAACAGCCACAGAATTCTTTGAAGTTATACTACACTATATGAATTTTAACTACTTTGTTGCTATAATACAATTAAAAACAAACTAGACACTAATTGAGCTGAGAAAATAGTCAGAAGCTGGCGTCAAAGCTAGAGCCAGAGAAGACAGCTGCTTTCAGTAACTCCTATTCACACTCAATCTATCAATTTTCATATACAATGATATTATAATTTGGCATCTACAGAAATACATGATATTAATGAGGAGTATCTGCGAAAGAAAAAACTGGGGCCAGCACTTCCTGGTTCAATGTAGAGAATGTTGGTTAAAAAAGGAAACCTATTTTCCGAGACATCTGTCTTTCCCCCCTTTCATAATTTCAGGAAATGTGTTGTGGCTTCCTGAACTTTTTTGTTTTTTAAATAACAATTTCCGGTGAGCTTTTGTGATTTCTCAAGATAAATGACCATGAAAAGAAAAATGAATAATAAAAGTACATAACTGGGAAAAGAGAAATGTACCTAAAGAGATTTTAATATTCCAGTTTCAAACTGCAATCAGACTAATGAATATTTAATGACATTATACTATTGGGTGTATTTTTGGACTCAAATTTGAATAACAGTGATGAAATAAGAAGCGAGACATTGGATAGGCTAGATGTGTTCCATAACATTCTGACTGGCGTACAAACCTTAAAGAGATATTAACAGTTACGAGATACAAGGTTCAGGTGGGTGCATGTTAAATATAAGGATGTGTTCTAATGGAGTTAGAAAGCTATGGTATGCTAAAAACGAAAGATTCCAGTGCTCCAATGTGTGATATATAATAATTTTCTACGACTGCTGACTTCTATATTTGCATCAATTATTTTGCAATGGCAATAGGAATACAGTGAGCTTCATCATCAGACATTTGCGAGCAGTGAATTGAATCCTGACAAATACACCAATGAGTAAAACTTCAAGAAATTTACTTGAACAGGTGTGGATGAGAATATTCTTTAAAAACAAACAATTCAATGACACAAGATGGGTGGGGGAAAACATGAAGAAGCAGACATACCTGGAAACGCAAAATGATCGTCCAGATGAGACCAAGTGTCAATCTGTTGTTGCCGTCCACGATATCATGGGAACCCATGTTTTCCATATGCACTCTTTTCTCTTTGAGGAATGTCAGCGCTTTATCAACGTTTTCTAGGCAGTGAATACGCATCTTACCCTTGGTAGGCCTTGGCTAAAAAAGCGTAACATTTGGGTAAGTACAGAATGTTTTTTTAAAATCACTCAAATGTGTGTAAATTTAGTGTTAGGTCATATTGCTATATAACCATTTATGATATAGAAATGTTCCAACTTTCAATCTCTAATTCTGATTCTCTCCAATCCATGAGCAATCATAGCTGTCAGTGTCTACAGAGTTCTCCTGCAAATATTGCTAAATGTTCTATTTTCTTTGTGTAGCACTTTAGTGTTAATCTTGTCACCACTTTCTCGCCCAAAGCTTTCTGCACTTTTTTCTTATATTATTCTTATACATTTCTGAAAATGAACTCTAATTTTGGAGCCAACAGACAAAATTAGAGACAATTTTCAGTTTTTTACTCAAAAGTTTGGCTGAAGGAAAGTGTTGACTATAATCGGGACTATTTTGTCGGGACTACTATGTCTTATGGAGGAACAGTCGTGGGTAGATGCACAAAATTTGATGTTGGGTGGAAAAAAGGTCTTAAATCTTGATATTTTAATAGTTTCTACATAAGTTTGCAACAGTTTTAGTTGACGATTGGGGTTCTTTTTCTATGGAAAGAGAGAACCCCTATATTGTCATGTTCCATAATGGCAACCATTTTTGCAAAAAACTGGATAAAACTTTGGAGAAACTTCAGATGAGAATCAAATTTCAGAAGTTTCTAGACCTATTCTATAGTGTATTATTTTCAGTACCATTCCTCCTTAATTAAAACAAGCCATGCATGGCACAGTCCTCGTTAGTTATCAAATTTAAGATATATAGTTTTGTTTATAGTAATATAGCTGGAATATAACCATGTCAGGAATATGATTTTTTTAACATTAAAATGATTAACATTTGTATCTGATCGTCAAACAAGTACTTGTCTTTATTGAGAGATATTCAGGGTTCTCCCCAGAAAAAATGCATAGCGCCGGGGCTAATTTGCATAATAATTTGCATATCATTTACATATCTTTCCTTCATTGATTAACAGAACTTATTTACAATTATGAATATTAGTG